CCCTCTTTCTCCTCTCCCTCCGGGGGCAACCGGACCTAAATGCTTGGTTGGCGGCGCCAGCAGGCAAAAGTGAAACGAAAACGGCGCGCTGGCATTTCGGCGAAATTTGGCGCGCAGTGGGAGTCCGCTTCTTACTACTTGGCGCGCAGTGGGAATCCGCCACTTACTACTTGGCGCGCAGTGGGAATCCGCCTCTTACTACTTGGCGCGCAGAGGGAATGCGCCTCTTAATACAGAAGAGGCACACGGGACGGATGTACTAGTCTTTGAATGCCGCTTTAGGTAAATCTATGCGTAGTGATTGGCGTTATTTCAAGAAGTTATGGCCCTCGGTTCATTACACAAATTTGGACGCTTTCTGGACCAGGTGCATGAAGAGGAATCTGAAATTCTTAATGTACCTGGTCGGAAATTTTGTCCAGATGCATGTAGAGGAGCGAGACCTTGTGTGTGTGCGCTTCGGTTATATGTGAGTTGATTCCTATACGATTCGTTTTGCTCTTAATGTGATTCTAATATCGAGGCGTAATGTGTGTGGTGTGATTCAAATCTGTAGTGTTAAACCGTTTTTTTTCTGTTTTTGATTTTTAATCCAGCTACAATTTATTATCTAACAATAATAGTCAAGGCCGTTTTTTTAATTATTTTAATCCAGCTACAATTCGTTACCTAACCCGGAGTACTGACAGCATCAGCCAGTAGTATTAACCGTAATTTCTATTTTCAATATCGAGAGACGTAATTGCTTTTGTAAAATTTATAAGATCTTTTCTTGGTGTTGTGTTATTAAGCTGTGACCTCTAATCGGTTTTTTATTTGATTTAAATCCGGAAGTTTTTTTTTTTTTTTTTAATGATTTAAATCCGTAAGTTTAACCGGGAAAAAAAGAACCGTAATTTCTATTTTCAGTATCGAGACGTAATTGCTGTCGTAATTTAGATGATTTTTTTTGGCTGGATTTAAATCTGTAGCTTCCAATCGGTTTTATATTTTATTTAAATCCGTAAGTTTAACTGGGAAAAAAAAAACTTTCAGCATCCAGGCGTAATTGCTGTCTTAGAGCATGCCTGAAACGAGCCCTTTTCTAAGCGTATCTGACCGCGATCGCGGCCCGAGTGGATGCATCTGACCGCGATCGCGTCTAGAAATTACTGGAAAAAGTCCCAGTGTGAATATAGGGCGAAATTGGCAACCCCCTGATAAGGGTATAACGCAAAGATTTGAATCTAAAAGAGCGTTATCTCATGAACTTCTGAAATTTCAGAGGGGTGTTCCACCCTACCGACTTCTTTTAGGGGTATTTTAGGATTTATGTGAACGTTCAGGGGTATTTTGCAGATTTCCCCTAATTTGAATCCGTGGCTTCGCACCGTAATTTTAAACCGTAGTTGCAAACCGCAATTTCCATCATGAATATCTAGGGGTAAAAATTGAAGTCGTTTTTTTTTTTTTTTTTTTTTTTTTTCATAGAGTTTTGGCGTGGTTACTTTTTTTAATTTTTTTAATCTTCCGAAATTCGTTTTTTTCCCCCCTTCGAAATTCGTTTTCCTATCGCACTGTCCTGCAGTAATTTCTATCCTAGTCTCTGTCCGTAAATTTCTTTTGGCCGTTCGCTGCTATTTTCTTTTCTTTTAATTTCTTTATTATTTTATTACTTTTTATTTTTGCAACAATCAGAATCCATCATTCATTTCCAACACAGAACACCTGGCTGGGGACCCCAC